TTATTACAAATTTCTGATTTAGTAAGTTCTCCAAGGTTTATGCAATCTGCACCATCAAATGTTGGGTGTGGGTTGTTACAACTTCTAGAAGCAAAGCGTAACCCTCCTCCACAAGATTTTGAACACTGAGTCCAACTGCTCCAATCAGAAAAATTACCATCCTTAACAACAACTAAAATTGAACAAGTACAATTTATTTTCATGCTTTTTCATTAAAAAAAGATTTTAAATAACTTTTTTATTTTACATCTGAAGTAAATAAAAAACCATTAAAATTTTTGCAACAAAAATAACAAAAATAAAATTAGTTAAAAACCACAGAAACTAAATGAAAATAATGTTATGATAAGAAACAATAAAAATATCTTTTTTACCGAAAAAAAGAGTTAACATTAATTAACAACAGAGTTTACATAACTAATTTTTGTAGAAAAAGTGATTGTACATTGACTGTACATGTTTTGATTAGCGCAGACATTTAATAATATACAAATTTAATCATATTAGCAATATTTGATCTAGTAAGAAAGATTTCAATAGAGCAACATGGTTTTATAACAATGCATTATTAATATTGATATGGTAGAGCCATTTAAACCTGTAGGAAAGTTGCGTAACTTTTGTTTAACTGAAAAAAACCATATCATATTATACCGCCATCTTTGAAACTCAAACAACAAAAACAAATTTAACATTGTTTAATGTTTAAAAGAAAGCTGCAATTTTAATATTATCTAAGCTAACGCTGCATTGTATTTTTATATATAATTTTTTGTTGTTGTTAGGGTTGTTTGTAATGACTGATGATTGCACAAAGCGTAAAACTCTGACTCATGTTTCAAATTCAATTGTAATTAATTATTCTTCTAATGTATATGTATGTATATATATATATATATATAAATATATATATATATATATATATAAATATATATATATATATATATATATATATATATATATATATATATAAATTATATATATATATATATAATAAATATATATATATATATATATATATATATATATATATATATATATATATATATATATATATATATATATATATATATATATATATATAATAAATATATATATGTATATAATAAATGTTATAAAACGGTGTTGCTCTATTAAAAACTTTCTTATTTGATCAAATATTGCTAATATGATTAAATTTTATATTTATGCATATATATATGTATATATATACATATATATATATATATATATATATATATATATATATATATATATATATATATATATATATATATATATATATATATATATATATATATATATTGTTTAACAATAAAAACATACCATCAGCTACACTATAAACATAAGCTGTATTAACTTGACCAGCACATTGTAAGCTGTTGTTATAACAAAGTTCAAAATTATTTTGATTTGGAATAAGTACTTTATTTGTTTGGCCTGGCTTTAACATACTTAAGCACTGACTTGATTGTGCATACTGATTAAACCAGTAAGTGTCTTGTGGCCCTGACCAACACTGAACATAATTAATAATTCCAAAGTACTTGTATTTTAATTCTTTTGATTTCTGTGCGCATTGGCAAATAATTGAAGACAAAATTTCTTCCCATGGTTTTACACCCAACTGTGTTTGTAAATTAACTAACTCTGTAGTAAATATTTTGCTACTGACATTTTGAAAGCAACCAACAGCCCTGTGAGGTGTGTCACCTAATAATTTAATATATTTCTTTAATAAATTAAAGTATTAAAGTAACGGAATACCTTAAATAATTTTATTATAATCATTTTTATAAAATAAATTAATAAAATAATAAATAATAAATATAACTCTTTAATTTAAAAAAAGAAATTTACAGCATTCAGCTGATTTGCACAATCTCTTTTCAACTGCACTGCCAACACAAATATTACCACCAAATTGTGGAGTTGGATTGGTGCATGAACGTTGTCGTGTCTGCCTACCTTCTCCGCAATAAAATGAACACTCACTCCAATCTGACCATGCGTTCCAATTTCCATCAACTGCATAAAACATTATATTAATTATGTTGATTAAAATTTTTTTATTAAAATTTTTTTTTTACTAAAAAACTAAAAAAATTTAAAAAATTAAAAAACTTCTTTAATTTATAAAAAAATAAAATCGAAAAAAAAAAAAAGGGGATTTTTTTTTAATTTGTAACTTATATTACCAGGACAGCTTTGCAAATTGCAGGGCACTTCTTCTTTGGCTTCTCCAAGATTTTGTTGAATACACGTTAATCCCCCAAATGCAGGTGTTGGCATAGAACAAACTCGAGATCGTGCTTTAGTTCCATTACCACACAATTGATCACAAGGCGTCCACTGAGTCCACTGAGAATATTGACCATTAACTAAAATTTTTCAAAAATGGATCTACTTTGATATATTTTAATAAATGTTGACTTTTCTTTTCCTTAATTTTTTTTTCTTTTTAATTTTTACTAAAAATTCAAAAACCAATAATTTGAAAAACATCTCACAACTTTCAAAATAATTTTGGTCATATAGATAATGTATGTATATATAGTCATTTTTTAAATTTATGTTTAAAAACAAAATTACTAAACTTATTAAAATTTAATAAATTTCTAATATACCTTAATATTTTATGTTCTATATAGTTATATTTATTATTTTTTTTAGATTTAGAATTTATAAATTAAAAAAAAAACTTTATTTTTACTTTCTATATGAAGTATTTTTTGTATGATAGTTTTATACTAATCAACCATTTATTAATTATTCATTGTAATGTTGTATTCATTTAATATATTTATATTGAAATAACAAAAAATTACCAGGACATCCTGTCAGGTTGCATGTTTTACATTCTTGATGTGACCCAAAACATACTTTGCCACTGCCTTGTGGTGATGGGCAGTTACATTGTCGCACTCTGTTTATATTTCCAAGACCACAAGAGCGAGAACATGTACTCCAAGATTCCCAGGAACACCATTCTCCATCAACTAAAAAATAAAACACAGAATAACTTCCAGTTATTCAACCAGTGTTTTTGTTCATTGTTTAAATTTCCCACCTATTTAAAGCAAATTTCATACCCTGTGGTATTTTCTTAACAAACTCATGGAAATAACTATCAGTTATTCAAATAACTATTTTTTATTCAAAAAGTTGTTCAAAATTTTGTTTAAGTAATTTTGTGCTCCCTTTGAGGAAAAACCAATCAGTTATTCACAGTTTTTCAATAAATGAAGATTTGATTGCATTGCAATTCAAAACTAACAAAAAAAACAAAAACACTGCAATGGAGTGCTCTATAAATTTTAAATTGGTTTCTAAACCAAAAAACTATTTCTAAACTATTTCTGGTAAGGAGAGTTCTTCTACAAAGAAAATGAGAGCAGATTCATTTGTTCACAATCCTCTCAAGGTATACTGTTTCAATCCTCTCAAGGTATACTTTGAATATTTCTGAAGTTGCATACAATTAAGAACCAATTTTACAAGTCTGATATGTTTAGTTTTTTTTTAACAAGTTAAAAAAAGTTTTTTTTTTAAACTTTCAAAATAATTTTTATCTATAAAGTGAACAATCTGCATGAGATAAATTTAAAAAAATCTGTTTAAATAACAACAAAAATTAGTGAAATGTTTAATACAATGATTAGTGCAATCATTGGTAATTAGCATCGCAAAAAAAAGTTTTGAAAGTGTCAATACAAGTAACAAAATTAATCTTGGATGGACTCAGAAATTTCTCCTGATTATGTAAAAAGGACTGACGCAAAGTTTCATACAGAGAGTAGAAAATTTTCTCCAATCATAGATATTTTTCAAGGTCCTAATTTTGCTAACCTTAAGGATATTGAATTTGCATTTTTACCATCCAACAAAATCTCAAAAACTTAACCAATGAACCAGGAAGTCATGCATGAATGGTTTTTTACGACAACTAATTGGGCAGTAATTGATTGGCACAATTGATTAAAAAACTCAGGATTTTAACTAACAATTGTGCTGATGTCAGCTGAGGAAGAAGTCAGATAATGAGTCAAACAATATGCCTCCTTGAAAACTAAAATTATTAAAAATTGTACGAGGGATAATAACTTTAATGCTCATTTTGACGATAGTAGCAACAAAATCAGCCAATTGCTATTATCAGAGAAGTTTGACAAATACTTTTTAAAAATAAAATAGCAATCAAAAATGTACAACTTTTTTTTAGACTTGCTTATTTAAGCTTTTATATTACAAGATCTAGTCTTGCAGTAACTGGTTCTAAATTTCTTTTTTATACTTTATTCTAGTTCTGTTAAAAAGAAATAGTGGGTTGATATTACTTTAGTAGATTTTCAGTTATTCAAAATTTCAATTCTTTTTTCATATGATTAAATAAACCTAAAATAATGTTATTGTTTGAATAAACTGGTTCACCTAAAATAATGTGATTGTTTGAATAAACTGGTTCACCTGAAATAATGTGATTGTTTAAATAAACTGGTTCACCTAAAATAATGTGATTGTTTGAATAAACTGGTTCACCTAAAATAATGTGACTGTTTGAATAAACTGGTTTAAAAAACTCTAACTGTAAAACAACAACATATTAATATCACTATAAAACAACAAAAACAGTAGCATTATCTAACATACTAAATAATGTTACATTGATCAAAAATTTAAAGTTACCCGGACATGAACCAAGATCTTTATTTTCTCTGATAGTATCTGATCCTTCACAACTTTTTCCACCAAAAACAGGGACAGGGTTTGTACAAGTTTTAACCCTAGTCCTAGTTGCTAAACCACAAGATGATGACCATAGTGAGTAGTCTGACCATACAGACCAACCTCCATCAACTTTTAAATAAATAAATTTTAAGTTATACATAAACAGCTAGTAAAAGGTTTTATTGTTTTTAATCAAACATTTAAACAAACATATTCAAAACAAGGTAATCACAAGACAAAAATAAAAGTTTCAAATTTTGTTTTTAATATTATATAATTTATTTAATACTACTGACTATTATTTGTTTAATATTTTTTCAATCATACAATAAAAACAACAAACAACAAATCAACAACAATATAAACAACATCATATAAAACAAAACCTTTCGAGAAAAAATTACAACTTCAATTTTTATGTTGCTTTAAATAAACATTCACATACAAATAATAAAATAATTCAAATTTTAAGATAATTATAATAAAAAATCAAAATTTAAAATAACTACTTGGGCATTCTTTCAACTTGCACTCAATAGATTCATAGTGATGGCCTGTGCAGTTTTTACCACCATATAATGATAATGGCTGATTAGAGGATCTATCTCGGTAAGTGTATCCTATTCCACATGTTTCAGAGCACTCAGACCAATTCGACCAAAGTGACCAAACACAGTCAACTAAAATAATTTATCATAAAATAATTTTTAAACTTGAAAAAAGACTGTCAAATTAGCATTTTATCAATCAATGTTGATTTTGTCAATCAAGTGATTTTGAAAAAACTTGTACTCTTGTAAAAATAATATTTAACAGTCAGTACCAGGGCAAGGTCCCTCATTGCAGGAATCTTCTTCTTCAGCTAAACCAAGCTTTTGGTCTAAGCAAGATAAACCTCCTCTAACTGGTGATGGATTTGTACAAGTTCGATAACGCAGTTTTTTTCCATTACCACAAGAATGGGAACAACTGGACCATGATGTCCAAAGAGTGTAACCACCATTAATACCAGCTAAATAAAAATAATAACTAATAAAAATAATGAAAATAATAGACCTTTAATAAATATTTATTTTTTCAATTCACTTTAAAAAATATTTTTTAAGCAAAAAAAAAAGTTTAAATTAAATTGTTATAATTATGTTTTAATTTAATAAAATTAATAAATTAAAATTCTTACAACCAACAATGCAACAAAAAAACCATCAAAAAACCTATTAAAATATGAATCAATTTTTAATTAAAATATGAATCAATAGTTCTTACAATCATTTAATCCATAAACATAGTTTGTTTGGTCACCACCTGCACATGGTCGACCACTGAAACTTTTTGGACAAAGTTGAAACTGGTCTGAACCAGGGTGTCCACCAGTTGTTATACACGAATCTGATGGTCCATAAATAGCATATGTTTCAGCAGCATTAGCTCCAGAATAACATTGAGCTAAAGATTGTATACCGAAATGTGTAAACTTATTTACTTTAGCTGCAGAAGCACATCGACATACAAGGTTATCAAGAAAATCATCCCATGTATGAATATCTACATTTTCTTGATCATCAAATAAAATTGTTGGCAAAGCACGGGTTGAAATAGACAGCGATGGAGATTCCTTGAAACAACCAAGTGGAACAAAAGGAATAGAACCTTTATATATAACATTAAAGAATTATGATTTTTTTTTGTGGTTTAAGATATATATTTTGTTATATATATATATATATATATATATATATATATATATATATATATATATATATATATATATATATATATATATTATATATATATATATATATATATATATATATATATATATATATATATATATATATATATATATATATATATATATATATATATATATATATATATATATATAATCGTCTGGGATAGTGCGAATCCGCATAACTAGCATTAGCTACTATATTTGAATATTGTTAATTTTAACATAAAATATTTATTGTTGAGATTACAAAAAACATGAATAATACTCTTTATACTAAAATGAACCTAAAATCAGGTAAAATAAAAAATATATAAAATTTTAAACTTCTTCAGTAAAAAAAAATATACTGTAGATACGCGGTATTATCCAACGCTAGTTACTTGGTTTTGCACTACCCTCGACAATATACATGTATGTATATATATATATATATATATATATATATATATATATATATATATATATATATATATATATATATATATATATATATATATATATATATATATATATATATATATATATATATATATATATATCTGTGTGTGTGTGTGTGTGTCTGTATTTGTTATATTACTTAGTATATTAAAAACTTGAATCCATAATAACTACTATAAATATTATTAATTTATAATATATAACTAATAATAATTAAAAAATACAAAAAATAACCCTTAAAAGACTAACTGTCAAAACTCAAAGCATGATTTCTTAAACAACACATGATCTATTAAATAACACTTAAAGCATGATCTATAAATAACACTCAAAGAATGGCAATCCTTCAGTAAAGCGGCATAAAATTATATATTCAATTTTTTTGCACTTGTCACAATTAGGTCTAAGACAGTGCACCCTTCCACAAAAATCTACTTCTTATTATCAAATGAATTTTTTTTTATCTGGTCACTTCAGACATACTTATTAGAGATGTATAAATCTCTGTTCAGAAGCAATTTTGACAAGTGCAAAAAAAGCAAATAAATCATTTTATTTTATACTGCTTAACTAAAGGATTACCCAAAGCACATATCAAATAGCACTTAGAGCACAATACTAAAATAAAACTTACAACAAGATCTCTCAAATGAGCAATTTCTCACTTCTCGATCTGGACCAAAACAGTACAACCCATTATTTTTTGGTGGAGGATTATTGCACGTTCTTTGCCTTATTTGAGTTCCACCAAAACCACAACTTTTAGAACATTCACTCCAATTTCCAAATTCACTCCAGTTTCCATCAACTAAAATAAATCAATGTGAAACTCATATTTTTATTAATATATATTTTAAATAATATACATTTATACGTTTTTAATATTTTTAAAACTTACAAGTAACCTTAGTTGTATTAAATCAAGTTACAATGACTTTTAAAAAATAAATTCACAGATGTTTTGTGTGTAAAATTATAAAAATTACAATAACAAACTTAAATTTAAAACTGAATGAAAAACTGTATTTTTCATTTTCAGTCTTGAGTATAAATTACAAAAAAGTATTTTCAAAATATTTTTTTTTTATATTAGAACTATAACTTATTTTCAAAAAGATATTTTTAAATTGGTCTGTGAATGGTCTGAAATAAAAAACTGATAATTTTTTCTTGAAACATCAACATTTTATTTGACTTTGAAATAGAAAATGTTTTTGCTTGTTAAAAGAATATTTTAGAATGCATTGCTCTGCTCATAACCACCTCATAAATTAATCAATAGTAAAACTAATCAGCATTTTATTTAGAATAACAATGTTTCGTTAAAACATTATAAAAGTGAATTTGTGTTATATTGTTTTCTGTCAAAGATAAGGAATTACTGGATCTTCTTAATTCCAGTCATGGATTTTTTGCTTGCTTCTTTTAACTAATAACTTTGTAACTCTTTCTTTTATCCTCTTATAAGAGTACAGCTATAAATATAAATAAATAAATAAATATAAAGCTCAAAAATGTAGTGGAGTCATTGCAAATAAATTTGAAACAACTCCACCAGCCACAAGTTTGGCTAATGAATTTTCAAATTAAATTGTCCAAATTTTTTCTCTTTATCTCCTATCTTTTTATCCATCTGTATTTTTAATTTATTTTTTGTTTATATTTTTATTTTTAATTTCCTACATTATAAATAAACTAAATTTGTTTTATTTATTAAACTTAAAGATAGTCTAAATTTAATTAAGCTATTTTAACTTATTAAATTCATTGAAATTTGTAATTTATTTTATTTTTTTGATTACTGTTGTTATTATGAATTACAAAGAAAACAAACAATAATTTTTTTTAAAAAAAAAATTAGAAATATTAGTTATTTCAGTTTAAAAATAGTTAATTAAAATATAATTAAAAAATTGAATTTTATATTATAAATAGATAACTAGATAATAGAAAATTCAACTGTTTTTATCATTTTACATTATCTTTTTTTAATTTTATTTATTTTTTCCTAATATTTTTGCTTTATCAGAGGATTTATATAAGCAGACATATTATTTCAAGTTGGATCAGGTTTAGGACCTTCAGTCACCAAGCTACAAATAACATGTAATTCAGTACAACATGCCTATGTCTACTGTTTGTAGCAATTACTTTTCTAGGCAAAAGCTAGAAATTAATTATGACTTAAATTTCCCCTGTCTTAGGGCTTAGGGAACTCTAGAAATGTATAGTGTAAAAAATTTTTTCTCCCTGTTGATTTTCCTATAGTTTATCTATTTTAGAATAAATAAACAAATTTCAAGCAATTTAGTAGTATTTAAGCCTTGTCACCAGCTCCCAAAAAATTAATAGTTCGAAATTTTTTCAATGTAAATTTATGATGTTACGTTTATGTACATTACGTAAGTTTGACACCAATTTTTGGCAATTACTTACTAAATAACACTTAAAGCATGACCTATTAAATATGTTTTATCATCTTAAATAATATATTTTTATAATATCTTTCTTAAAATCTCTTTAATTCTATCATTTATTTTTATTTTAAGATAAATTATCAAAGATATTATATGAAACTAAATTTTAAGCATTGCATTTTTTTACTTAAACACTACTCATCGCTTTAACCCAATTATGGATAGACTGGTTTTTAGAAAAGACATTGATATCTGGTTATTAGAAAAACCATTAACTCAATTGTTACCATCGAGAATTCCATTAAAGGGAGATGTCCTGCAGTTCTTTTTCTTTATAAAAGGTGGACTCATGAAACATGCTAAATATATCAACTGTAATGGTGCTATAGCAAAGATGGTTATTGCAGAAATTCAAAATCAATGGGATAAAGCTGGAATTGCAAAGACAAGGTTGGAAATGCAAAGACAAGGTTAAAGCAAAAATTTTGGATGATGCTTATACAACACTTTAAAAGAAGTCAATCTAATGAAGCTAAAGAAAAACTGTTTACTGATGAGCTGAAAAATTATTTTTATATTGCTCACCAAAATAGAAACTGATCAACTTGGTAATAGTAAGCAGAAAAAGATATTGAATTTCTTATGGCAGTTAGAGATCAGAAGTGAGTTATTTTGAGATCAGAAGACCAAGCATACAAAAGGAAAATTACACAGAAATAGACTTGCAATCTGCAGATGACTCTAGTGTTACAGTTACACACAGTTCAGACAATTCTAAAGATGAAGATTTTAAAAACTCACCTAAATCTGCTATGAAACCAAAAAACATCCAACCTGATAAAAAAAGAGTAATTACACTGGCTCTTCCACACACTCTATTCAAAATTGAAAAAATTTCAGCAATGGCAGATCGCCTAAATTTATCAGCTGGTAAAAGAACAGCTTTCATGGCAGTTATAATTTCAGAGGGTGGTGCTGATTTGCAGTGTGTGACTTTATCAAAAACGAGCAGCAGAACAGTGGCTAAAAAACATCAAATAAATAATGGGGATGAGATTGAAACTACTGTTTCTCTAAAGTATGTTACATTACATTCGGATAGAAAAATTGCTCCAGAGGATGCTGAACGGCTAGGTGTTCTTATAGCTGGGATTCAAACTGTAAAGAAGGTAAACTACTTGGGGTTCCAGTAATCTCTGATGGAACTAGTGCAACTACAGCTAACACTAGCCATTCTCTTGTGGTTCGGTAGAAGGTAGAACAGTCAATTATTGGACTAGTTTTTGATACCACAGCATTGAATTCTGGGTGGAAAAATGGTGCATGCATACAGTTGGAATCCTTGCTAGGCAAGAAGCTTTTTTATTTTTCTTGTCAATATCATGTAATGGAAAGAATCTTATGTTCTGCCAGGCAAATGATTTTTGGTCCAACATCCAGTCCTGACACTCATGAGTTCAAAGAATTTAAGAAATCTTAGGAAACCATTGAAGATCAATCAAAATTTAAAATTTTACATATCATGTAAAATGATCATTTTCTTAAACAGTAGAAAGACGAAGTTATTATTTTTGGAACAAATGTTGACGTCAGCTGACGGTGATAGTTTGCCTCGTGATGATTATGGAGAATGTGCAGATTTCATGCTAATACTTTTGGAGAAATGTCTCCTTGTGGGGTGCACTGGCTAAAACCTGGTGCAAACCATCATGCCTGCTGGATGGCAACTGTTATATATAGTGCTAAGATGTATGCCTTTGGTGACCAGCTGAATTATGATCAAGATAAAATGGAGAAACTGCATCATATTTGCATATTTAATGCATTATTCTACATAAAGGCGTGGCTAGCCGCCCCTTTTGCATATACCATCAAATGATCTCTAGTTATACATCTTGATCTTCACATGTTAAAAAAAACTGACCCAGAGGTTGGTGAAGCAACTATTCTTGCACTAAAAACAGGCATCTGTGGTATCTGACCAAAGAAACTGCTACTTTTTCTCTTTTTTCAAGTTTGGTGCCAGAATTGGAAAAGAAACAAATAGCCAGATAACTTATTAAAGTAAAGACATGCCAATGGATAAAGGAGTACTAGTTTTTCGACAGTTGGTTTCATCCACAAAATTAGTACATTTGATTGGCAAAGAAATCTTGGTTCGTGTTTAACTTACTCGGAATTGAAACTGCCTGGTTACACTTGCCGCCAGCACAGTGAGAAACGAGTAGAATTTTTACAGAAGCTGCTATGTTTAATCGTCATGCAAATGTTGTTAATGATCTTGCTGAATAAGCCATAAAACTCATCACAGACTTTGCAAACACTTTAATTAAAGATGAAATACAGAAACAATATTTGTTACAGGTTATTGAAAAACACAGACACAAAGTACCAGATTTTAAAAAAGGAACCCTGGGAAACATTTAAAAACTGCTTTTTTTCTTAGAGACATCAATACTAATTTACCATATTTAAACCTTATAAAATACTTTTTTCATTATGTTTAAATGAACATATCATTGTTTAAATGATCATATCATTAGTTTTTCCATATTTTGAAAAAATTAGGCTCTTGGTTGAATAAAGGCTAGAGATGATGTCTCAATAAAAATACTCATCTTGAGCAGATATTAACTGCACTTATTGACTCTACTTATAAATTTCTGCATGTGTCTCTTTGATGTTGGTGTAACTCTTCCTGTTATATCCTAATGAGGGTACAGCTCCAAAACTCAGTTTAATGCCATTTTCGCATGAATGTTGTCATAGATGATAAGTGCTTTTTGTGTGCATTGTTGAAGCCTTTTACTACACTTTAGGTTAATTAATAAAAAACACTTTGTTACAAATTGGGTTAATTAACAACAACAACAAGCCATTAATTTTCTGTAAATCATTTTTACAATAGTTTTGATAATTATAATAATAACAATAATAATAATAGTAATATTAATATATTATAATAATATAAGATAAAAAAAAAATTATACAAATTATAATAATAGTAATAATAAGTATGTTTACAATAATTACAATGAAAAAATAATAATAATAACTAATATTATAATGGTGGATAAAAGCATAAAATTATTTATAATAATAAGTTAATGATTTATTAGGATTGTGTCACTGATACTGAAATCTGATCAAAGGAGGGACACCAATTTTTAATATAATATAAGTAATAATAAGTAAAGACACACACTGAAACACATAGACCAAAAACACACAGACCAAAGTACATAAAATATACATCAAAACAAACATGTAGAAACCAATTTGCAGGTTATAGTAATAAAAAAAAGAAAAAAATAAACAAAAAGTATTAATGATAATTGTAGTAATTATGAAAAGAAAATTAAAAAGAAGATTAGCATACGTTACTAGCGATGAAAATGTTGGAATGAAAAGTTTTTTGAAGGACTTCAATGTATCTGATTTAATTGGTTGGAAGTTTATTAATCTGATGGATTGACACTGAGACAATAGCAACTTGTTAATGCAATAGTTTCCAACATGACCCCAAACTTGACAACAATAGCTAAGATGAGATGAGAATAATGTATAATAAATATTCTTAAGTGAAAGCATACCGTTAGCTCAAGTTTCTTGCTTAGTTCATCAATATGAAAGTTCCATGAAAGATTGCAAACAATTAATACACCAAGATATTTAATAACTCTTAAAGAATATAGCTATTTGTTATTAATTTTGATTTTCATTTCAACATTTTCAAAGAAATTGTTTTTTCTTGGAGATGAAAAAGAAATTAGTTCATTTTTTTTCGGTGTTGAGACAGGTTAGTATTTAACCAGTGAACTATACCTTTTAGATCCGAATTAACATTTTTACATAAAGAATGATACGATTTGTTGATGTGCAAGAGATTTGTATCATCAGCAAACAGATGAACTGAAGAGAAGTGAACAGAATTGATTAGGTCGTTAACGTAGTAAAAACAAAATAGGACCTAGAACAGAACCTTGAAGAACACCACACAAAACTGATTTATTACTAGAATTGAAACCATTAATACTTACAAATTGTTTTCAATCTAAAAGATAAGATCGAAAAGTACTATGGTCAACTGTATCAAAAGCTTTTTGTAAATCGATAAAAACACCACAAACGAAATGATTAGTATCAAGAACTTTCCTAATTTTTTCCGTTATACTTATTAATGCATGGCAAGTAGAATGTTTTGATTGAAAACCAAATTGAAAATCAGTTAAACAATTAAGTGAGTTTAGAAAAGAGTACACTCTAGAATACATAAGTTTCTCAAGAAGCTTACTAATATTAGATAAAAGAGAAATAGGTCTGTAGTTAGTGCATGAAAGTTTAGAGCCATTTTTAAATATTGGAATAACGCAAGATAATTTCAAAATATCAGGAAATGTTCCATTTATAAATGAGGTATTTAATAGTTTGGAAAGAATATTTGAAAATTCATAGTTAAAATCTATAAGCATATTTGTGGGAATGCTGTTTGGACCTAATGATGTTTTTGGATTCAATTTAGATATAAGAGATGAAATTTCAGGAATATTTGTTGGAGATGATAATAAACTATATAAATTTGGATGTCTAAGATATTTTTGATAGTTAATGTAAGATGAATGAATATTGGATTTGAGTTTATGAGCAACATTTGTAAAAAAGGTGCTAAATGATTCAGAGATTAGAGTCGGATCAGTTATATATGTATCATTTTCTTGCAAGTAGTTAGGAAATGATTTATTCAAATTAATTAGAGTGTTAATACCTTTCCAAAGTTCTCGAAGATTTTTCACATTTTTTGAGAAAAAATTTTTTAAATGGTTTTTTTACAAAGTTTAATTAATGTAACTATCATATATTTATATCTTTTAAAAATACTTTCAAATTTTTTTTTATTAATAAGATCTTTAGATCTTAACATTTTTTGTTGGTAAAGATTGCGCATTTGAATAGATTTTATAATTCCTTTTGTAATCCATGGTTTGAATTGACGTTTGAAGTTTTTGATACTTATTTTTTTAAGCAGGGCGTAGCGATCTAAAATCAATGTTGTTTCTGTAATAAACGTTTGGAAACATGTGTTAGTATCATTGGACTTTGTAATATTGTCCCGTTCATTTTTTGATAAACCAGATTAAAAGTTTTAATTATTAAAGTTTTTAAAACTCCTGTTATATAAATTGTGTTTGCGTGGTATAAATAATTTATTGAAATTTGGACAAATACAAAATTGAGGTAAGAGATTAGAAACAGAAGTTGTCAAATTTTCTGAAACAATTTCATAAGTTATTAAACTAGAGAAAATATTATCAATAATTGTAGCAGAGTGATCAGTAAATCTAGTTGGCAAAGTAATGAAAGGGCGAATATTATAATAAGAAAATAAATTTAAAAAATCAGATGTCACAATGTCATTATTTGATTGCATCAGATCAATATTATAATCACCAAGTAAGAAAACAGATTTATTTTCAGCAGATAATTTTTGAAGTAAGATAGACATGATATTATTAAAAATATTAATATCCATGCAAGGGTGTCAATAAATGCAACTAACAATAATATTAGACTTTTTAGAAAAAATAACTTTAACAAATGTCAATTCTAAACAATTAGGTGTATAAATCATTAAATCATCTCTTTATTTGTATATTAGTTTTTTTGATAAATATAATAATGTACCATCACAAGAGGATTCCGATGGTGTGTGCTCTATGTTGTAATTATCAATGAGAATCGGATGTATTGAGGATGTTTCTTTTTTTAACCTTGTTTCAGTTATACCAATAATGGATAAATCAAAATTAATTTATGATTATTATGTTATTATTAATGTATTATGTTTATATCAAAATTAATTAATGATTATAATGTTATTATTAATGTATTATATTTAAATCCTCAAAGTGTTTTTGTAACGATGATATGTTTAGATGAAAAAAGAAGAGAGCGCTTATTTTATTAAAATTAAGTGTACATAATTTGCTTATGTCATAATATTTACAAACTATGTCTAATGAAGAAGAAATTTTTTCCTCAGAATCTAAAACACGAGAAGAAACATAATTATTAAATTGATTAGATACTTTATTTAAATAAAGACTGGAAAAGGTTTGTAGACAGAGGTAAACCATCAGTTTTCAGAATTTTTCAGAAAAAAATAACAATTTAAATTGTACATCTGTGAATGGAAAGACACTTTTAATACAGTTTAAACAATTCCGCAATGAGCGACTTAATTGTAGTAAACTGTACTAAGTATCATTAAGCCTGTCACATTTTGTATGAGTCCAAAATAAACAAATATTATATTGAGATGAGCCGCAACTTTGACTAATTAATTTTTTACACAAATGACAGTTTAAAGCCATAGTGTAACCGCGATATTAGAGAGAATGTAAGAAACAATAAGTAGGAAGTAAACAGCTATGTTATAATTAATTGTTAAAATAAAATAATGTGCATGAATTTATTATTAAGAACAACCATTAAAGTATCGAAAAACTAACAATTATAATAAATAATAATATTAATGGTAGTTAAACAATAATGCAACAGCCAAACAAACAGTAAACTATAACAAAAACAAAAATTTTAAAGAGAGTTATAAAATCAGACTAAAAGAGTAAAAAAACTAATTAAAGTTAAGAGAAATGTAAATTAAAAAATATAATAACAATGATAAAAATAAATATTTAATATTATATATCAAAATAAGAATTCTAATAATAAATTGTAGTAATATAAAAATAAAAAAAAAGGATAATATTTAAAATAAGATAACAGATACAAATAAAAACTATAAAAATTATCTATTCTTTTAAGAAACTAATCTTCTCTTCAACTTTTCTCTTTTTTTTGAACTACTTTTTGAACTACTTTTTCTTTTCTTTTCTTTTTCTTTTTTTGTTAAGTAAAAATCAATGTTCAAATTTTCTTTTATTTGATATTTTAAATGTTACTTTTGAGTGTTTATTTGTTAAAAAGTTCTTTATTTATGTTTTTTTTGTTTTACTCTTTTTTTATTTTGATATTTTTGAATTCTTTATTTGAAACAACTGATAATTAATGGTTAAAAAAACATGACCGCCATCTGCGATGACCTTGCAAACCTTAAAAAAAACACTTAGTTATACTTTGGGTTAATTAGCAGGACTGAGGCAACTGCATAGCTATTGCTTGGAGGACACTCTGATTCTATGAATTAAGTCCTCCAATAACTTAAAACATGACAAAAATACATAAAATATAAATTGTTTCAATCTATCTTTTATGAATATTCATGGCCTTTAAAGTAATTTTTCATAAGTTGAATCCTTCTTCTTGCGAAATTCACCAGATTTGCTTTCTGTTAGACTAATTGAAATTTGACTTTATCATTTTTTGATCTTTGTATTTATGGCTATTACGCTTTGATCCACAAAGACTCCTATAGTCACATGCTTGTTCTGAGCATATACTTACACATCAATTCACCTATGTGCAATTAAATCAGGCTTAAATCCTGACCACTCTTTTATATGCTTCTACCTTGCATCTTTTTGTGCAATTACCTTTTTCTTTATTATTTTTTTTTTTTTTCTTTACTTTTCTTTTTAGTTCTTTATTTTTCTCCTTATTCTCAAGACTACAATTCTTTTGACTTTTTTTTTATTCTTTTGACTTTACATCCCATTACAACTCTATCTCTTTATCCATCAACCAATATGGTTGTTATTGGTGACTTAATTGTTTCTCACACTGAATGCCAGTAGGGTTGGTGGTGCACCAACCCTACTGGCACTAAAGCTCAAAACTTTAGTGTTTCTTAATTTGTTGCACAGTTAAACTTGTGAGTCTTCTTTCAGACAACAAAAATTTATTTTTGATTTGCGCTTCTGACCCTAGCTTGTGCTCAGTTTCTTTTTATTCTCTGTTAAGTGGCGCGAACCATGTTATATGATTTAATTTAAACAAAATGATGTAGATTATAATTGAAAAACTAGCTTTTCATTATACTTCAATGAAAAAAACTCAAATAAAAATGTGTAAAACAATAATATAAATATATTTTTATGTTTTAATATTCACTAGGTAATTTCAGGTATTATTATTACAGATATATGTTAAATATACATTTTTTGCCTTTAGAAAATCTTTCAAAAAAAGTTGATATAAAATAAAAAAGTAGAAAATAATATACTTGGACACTCAACAGCAGCTTTACAACATTGTGCTTCAATCAATGGACCTAAATTAGAACAGTCTCTTCCCCCACACATAGGACTGGGAGAATTGCACTTCCTGGTGCGTGTTTGTTCACTCATTCCGCATGTAGCTCCACATTGACTCCATGTAGTCCATTCCGAAAGATTTCCATGTACTAATCAAAAAAACAACAAATCATAAAACCAAAAATTTAATTTTAATTTTAAAAACATGTTTTGATTAATTGCAAAACTACATGATTAATTTAATAGTATAAAATGACTCTAGAGGAACTCAAAATAATGCTTTCCTAGCCGCATAAACAGCTGTCTTTTTGACAGAATTTACTAAATTCTTAAAATAGTATATTTTTATTTTGTTTTAATTTTATTATTTATGCATTCATGCACTCTCCTAAAAAAAAACTGTTAAATGTTGTTAAAATACAAATAATGCATCAAATAGAGCTTTAAAACTAACATGTTTAAAGCTTCAAGTTACATTAACATTTTTTTACTTATTTTTTCAAAATATTTTGCAAAAAAAAATTCATATAATAATATAATTAGACACCCTTGCAACGGCAAAACTGTCCAATTATATTACTGTATGAATTTTTTATGGAACTGTGTTATTAATTACTACGAATTTGTTATCGAACTTTATCATGAACTACTAAAGAACATGTTACCAAACAAGGCTGATTTTTTTTCAATGTATCTTTCAGAAAAAACTTACTTTGTTCACACTGCATTCACTTGGTTAACACTCCATTCACTTAGTTCACACTACATTCACTTGGTTCACACTACATTCACTTGGTTCACTCTACATTCACTTGGTTTATAGTTTGTTTAATCAATGCTAACAGATCTTTTGTGAAAATTAAAAAAAACATTTTATTTTTTTGTGAATAATAGGCCAGCTCTTAATGTGTTATATAATTAAGTAATATATACTTTTATTTAAAATTAATATATTTAAAATAATATTTATTTATATTTGAAATTTTTTAAAAAAATGTTTTTTGAACCACCCTAATAGACTGATACTGATGTAGCCACAGAAGCATGCTGAGTCTAGATACATTAACTGAGTGAATTGGTTTGGCAGACAATCTTTTAATTTAGAAAAAAAAATTTACCTTTTTGGTTTTCTTTTGCTTTTTGATGTTCAATTTTTGGAGTTAAAGCAACATTTTATAGAAAACTTTTTGATTGACCTCAATTAAAAGAATTATTTTATAAAAAGCTGTTCATAACCATATTGATTAAGCTTAATAATAATGAGAATTGAGAATTCACACAATGACATCAAATTTCCTGCAAAATTAAATTTTATGCAACAGTGTTGCTTAAAACAAAACAACCTTTTTGAATGGAAAGCATTGTGGTAGTTCAGTATTGGTCCAATTTGTAGACTTACTGTACATTGAACAAATTTAAAATTGTTAGAGCATTTTAAAGTAAACATGTTAAACTTTGATAGATTGGACCACTCACAGTGAAAACATGACCAAACCATTACTAACGGTTTGGTTATGTTTTAGCTGTGTTGGAGTAAATCCAATCTGTGATGGAGTAAGTTCAGGGCCTTCCAGTTCCAGTGCAAAAAAACGTATAAAGGAATAATGAAGAACATAATGCTTCCAAATGCAAAGAATAAAATGTTGTGTGGTTGGACATTGCAACATGACAATTATCTAAAGCACACACCCAAGCAAACCACAGAATTTTCACTCAAAGGAAAGTTTGAAATTGGGTGAAATCTCTAAATTGAATTAAAATCTCTAGACCTGAACCCAATGGAACATCAATTACAAGCCAACTAATCAACAGGATTTGTTTGAGTTAATTAAACATATGAGGTAATACCAACTAACTTGATTGATTTGTAAATGTTGTTCAACTGAATACTAGTCTTTCGCACAGACTATATACATTATGTAACAGAATAAAATATTATGTAACATATATATATTATGTAACAGAAATCATTATAAAAATACTGAAAATTTATCACTTGTTGAAACAATTTTGTTTTTAAAAAACCTACTTAGTTTGTTTAATTACTTTTAGACTTTTCCATTTTTCCCATAAAATTTTGAATAATTGTTCCTAAATGTATATATATATATATATATATATATATATATATATATATATATATATATATATATATATATATATATATATATATATATATATATATATATATATATATATATATATATATATAATTATAGTATAATTTGACATATTTACAAGATAATTCATTAAAAAATGTTAAGTGATGAAAAAGTATGACAAAAAAGCTGTTTTTCCAATGACTTTCGATAGTTACTCTATATGCATATTGTATATATCATCCGCTATTCTAGACCCTTTTTGACAACATTGAACAAATTTGGTTCACACATTGAACATATTTGGGTCAATTCAGAAACTGAAGACCTTTTTTTAACAACCAATTTTTTTTTTTTTTAATCCTATATACAACAATATTTTTGCCAAAATTCTGTACAGCAGGCACTGCCACGTTGAATACCACTGCCCAAATTATTTTTCTAGAATAGCCTCTGTATATGTATATACATGTATATAAATATATATATATATATATATATATATATATATATATATATATATATATATATATATATATATATATATATAAGAATTTTTAGTCAGTAAAATTTCTTGAATACTAAACCTACCTGGACAACATGCTGTGTTGCATAATGCATGCTCAATCGGATACCCTAATCCCATTTTAATGCAATCCCTTCCACCATATTTAGGTTTAGGGTTAGTGCATGTGCGTGTGCGATATTTATCACCACCTCCACAGCTTTTGGAACATAGAGACCAATCACTCCATTGTGTGTATCTACCATCCTCAGCTAAAAAAATTAAAATTGTAAGCAGTGTCAAACATATTAAAAAAATATGTACAGCATTTTTTTTTTATAGTTTTTAGTTCAAAATCAGCAAAAATCTTTTTTTTTTTTTTTTTATGTTGCTTACAGCAGTTTATAGGAGCTTTGCATGGAAAAACTTCTTCATCTGGTCCTTCACAAACTTTTCCTCCAAACTGAGCTTCTGGAGCATTTGGTAAACGAATACGTCTTTGCTCGCCGTTTCCACAAGTCGCACTACATTGAGACCATTGAAGCCATTCTGACCAATTGCAATCAACTTTAAAAGAGGAACTAGTTTAATCTTTGAGTTGATAAAAATATTAGTGCTAAATAATAATTATACAAAGAGTATATAAAATAATTTGTTATTAAATAATTATTATGCAAAAGTTTATAAATTTTATTACAACAATAATGTAACTTAGTACTAATTAATGGTTATATTAGAGGTTTAATGGTTCTACAATGCCGTTTAATGGTTTTACAATGCAGTTTAATGGTTCTGCAATGCAGTTATTAACTTCGCCATGTTATACCAAGATTTATTGCATTAGCAACCAGTTCTAACTTCCAGTTTTATAAAAACATAAAAAGTTGACAAGCAAAAAATATTAAAAATTAAACCAAATATCACTTATTTTATTTTTATACTTTATTGATGTTTATATAAGTCATTTATTTATGCAAATCGCACTTAAACAGTTTTCTTCAATTTTGAAAATTTCAAACAAGTTATGAACTAAAATTATTTCCACTTCATGATTACACAATTTTTTAATGCTTGAACTTTTTAAATTCATTTGATCTTTAACAAGCAACAGCAGTTTGTAAAAATATCAAACTTTTTGTTTAAAGAAAAAAAAGCTTTTTTACTGATAACTAATGGTAACTAATGGTAATCATTTAAGTAATTGATCATTTAGAAGAAAAATCATTAAATGGTACCAGTAATTGATCATTTAGAAGAAAAATCATTAAATGGTACCAGTAATTGATCATTTAGAAGAAAAATCATTAAATGGTACCAGTAATTGATCATTTAGAAGAAAAATCATTAAATGGTACCAGTAATTGATCATTTAGAAGAAAAATCATTAAATGGTACCAGTAATTGATCATTTAGAAGAAAAATCATTAAATGGTACCAGTAATTGATCATTTAGAAGAAAAATCATTAAATGGTACCAGTAATTGATCATTTAGAAGAAAAATCATTAAATGGTACCAGTAACTGATCATTTAGAAGAAAAATCATTAAATGGTACCAGTAATTGATCATTTAGAAGAAAAATCATTAAATGGTACCAGTAATTGATCATTTAGAAGAAAAATCATTAAATGGTACCAGTAATTGATCATTTAGAAGAAAAATCATTAAATGGTACCAGTAATTGATCATTTAGAAGAAAAATCATTAAAATAAGCCCTACTCTGGTAGAACAATTTTAAAAACAGTGGGAAAATACTACCTAACTATTTGTTTGTACACACATAAATGCGGTAAACATTTAACAGCGATAAACAAAGATGGCTTACAGTCAATGTTAATGTGTAATGCCCTTGTCTATTTTTTTGAAGTTTACTTCTGTAATTTGCTAAGTAGAAGCCACAAATAAAATTAATTCTATAAGGTAAATATGTTTTATTTTCATATTAGATGATTGTTATTTGAAATAGTTATGTTTGATATTAATTAAAAGTTATTTATTATCTGTTTGCTGTTATCTATGGTCAGTTATAAGGGTGGCCATATATTGGATTAAAAAATTTAAATAATTTGGTGATTGACCAGGGTTGGTTAATTATGACCAGTCTGTCAAATACTAGATCAATGAAGTGTCAACTTTTGAATCCATTTTTTTTTTTGTATTATTTTAGATTCATTACGCGTGCCATAATTTTAAAAGTACTCAGAGGAGGCGATGAAGGAAGCCATCTTGTGCTTACATCGGCCAGAAGGAAGCCATCTTGTGCTTACATCGGCCAGAAGGAAGCCATCTTGTGCTTACATCGGCCAGAAGGAAGCCATCTTGTGCTTACATCGGCCAGAAGGAAGCCATCTTGTGCTTACATCGGCCAGAAGGAAGCCATCTTGTGCTTACATCGGCCAGAAGGAAGCCATCTTGTGCTTACATCGGCCAGACAGCAGCTAAAAAATATGGTTTACCAAAAAATAGTCTAAAATATAAATTGAAAGGCAAGTCAACTTTTTGAAAAAAAAAAGGGATCTCAAACCATCCAAAGCAATAAAGAGGAAATAGTTATTGCTAACTGGGTCCTACAAATGGTCAAAGCAAAGTTTTCTGTAACTGCAAAACAGCTTCAAGATAATTTACAAAGGTTGGTAACTGACCTTAGATGAGACAATCCTTTTACTAACAATTATCCTGGGAGGACATGGATCCTAGAATTTTTAAGATATGAAATGAAAATATAAAATATCTAAACATATAAGCTAAAACTTACCAGTTTCCTGTGCATCAGTGACCTAGGGCAATATTTTAAGGTGGTTTGTGGAAGTTAAGAAATACTTGAAAAAAAGATACTTTACAAGTCCTGATATACCCCCTCATAGCTCTTGAATTGCAACAAGACCGCCTTTTGTCTTAACCCAAAAGGAACTAAAGTGCTTGCAAGAAAAGAAGATAAGACAGTATATCAACAAGTTAATTCAGATGACAAGGAGTGCCTCACAGTACTGAACACTAGCAAATGCTAACAGCAGTATTTTAACTCCATTAGTGATCTGCAAGTATGAGCGCCTATTCAACACTTTTCCTATTGTAGAAGAAAACTGAGTTAGATCTTAAAATGGTTCACACTAAATCTAAACAAACATGTTCAAATGATAACACCCCTTTTAAAGAGGGTGAGGATACAAGAGAGCCATCAACTGTATTGTCTCTTTTAGTTGAATATAATTAAGAAAACTGCATTTACCAGACAGTCATCTATACCATCTACAATTTAAAAATATAGATCTCCCTGTTATTGGCAAGAAAAAGCTCAATTGTTTTTCTAAACAAAAAGTCAATTGTATTTCTAAAGGAAAATTAAAAAAAATAGAAATGGAAAGACTGAAACAAGAAAGAGCAGCTAAAAGGGAAGGGAAAAAAAAAGAAAAAAAAAAGAAATAGAAAAGGTATGAAGAGTCTCATTCAGACTCATTTAATTTCTGTTCCTAAGCTAAATTGTAAAGATTCTGATTTTTCATTTAATTTTTAATAAAATAAAATGAATTTCAACATTTCGTTTTTAATAAAATGTTGTACTTATACAATTAATTTACTTTAAATACCTAGTGGGCATGCGTTGCTGTAAAGGCATCTTGCAGCAAGATACCCACTAGAATCAATGCCATGAGAATCATTCTCATGGCAACAGTAAAAACAATTGTATTTTCAAAATAAAAAAAAGATATTTTAAGGAAAAAAAACAAACTTATTTACAAAATACAGTCAGCAAAACACGAAAGTAGGTACTTTTAATAATTGTTAACCAATAAATTGAAAATAAAGCAACTTATTGGAAAATCAAATAATGTCTTTGATAAACCCTGGTGCTGTCATAGATAAAAAATTCAAATTATATTAATTAATTGAAATATAAACAAAAAAAAAAACAAACGTAAAAACAAAATATATTTTAAAAATTAAATAACATGATGGTGGAAAAAAAAAGCAAACAAACTTGGTTTTGAGATCATCATAAATATTAGTTTCAAAAATGTTTATAAAAATATAAATACTTTGCAAAAAATGCAAAAAATGTAAAAGATTGTTTATTCTTTAGTTAAAGGACAATGCCAAATACCACATTAATTGGGAAAAACAATCAAAATTATAACTTTTTTTACAAACATGGTCCTTCAAGTAACTTTCCATCAGTTAAATAATAACTCTTGAAAATTCATGAGACTTAATTGCTCTTTGTGAAACTAATTTGAATTAATTTCTTTTTCAGATCTCAGTACTGATGTCTATTATTGATTATGACTGCGATAGTCGCATGCTTGGCTAAGGTGTATATATACACATCAAAACACCTATTTATTGTAAAATCAGATTTGAATCCTTTGACCATTATTTCATGTGTTTCTGCTTAGCACCTCTTTACTCAATAACTTGTTAAATTATTTTTAATGTTATATTAATTGAAACAAAATTAAAAAATCATGGCTTTAATTTTTCTCTCATTAAATTATGGTCAACTAATAAAGCAAATGACATTCAAATACTTCTAACTAATTTAAGATGGTCAATTTCTAATGTAAAACCATGCTTTAAAAAAACAGTTACTAAAATATGAAAAGAGAGTACTCTGTAAAATATTGCTTAACAGTATGCAAGAATATAATATGCAAGAATATAATATGGTAAGTTGTTAGAATAATTACTATATAATTACATAATATAAAAGAATATAATTGATAAGCAATTTTAAAAATATGTGAGTCATACAAAAATTTTTCTCTTAAACAGTCAATCACTGGTAACCTAATCTTAATCAAAATGAGTTTGACAACAATAATAACAAAAACAACTTCTTTATTAGCTTTATTTAATCTTTTTTATACTGCAGTTATTTATTTAAGCTTTATAACTTTAAATAAATAACTGCAGTATAATAATAATAGTAATAATAATAATAATAATAATAATAATAATAATAATAATAATAATAATAATAATAATAAAGCCAAATGAATTATAAAAACAGCCACCCAAACAGAACTATGACCAAAGAAGTGCCACCAAACAAAATAATAATATTAAAAGAGTTTTATAAAAACAATAACTTATGTAAGACACTCTATTGGATAAATTTCAGACAAAAAAATTAGTAAACCAGTAAAAAAAATTCTTTTTCCAAATTCTTATAAAACATTCTGTCAATGACTTAAAAAAATTAAATGTTGCTGAGTCTTTAATATTTGAATAAAAAATTAAAATTGTGGTAAAAATTTTAAATCCACTAAAGGTATAACTACCAGTTCAGCTTCAGTTACAATCAAGGGGATAAAACATCTTTTGAATTTGGAAGAGTCACAGAAAAAATCTTAAGACTGAATACATTTAAAAAGACAGGACTGATAGAGTGGCAATGTTTTTAAAACTTTCTAATCTTAGATTGTTTCGACCTAAAAAGAATTAGACTATGAAATAAAAACTTAAAAAAATAATAATAGTAATTTAATTTAGGAACACAGATGTAACTTAAAAATAATAGCTGATAAGCCTTTACATCCATTACATAAAAACCAAGATGGCATATTAATTTTTCTAAAAATTTTCTAAACTATATAAATATTCTTGTCATAATTTTTTAAAGAAAAATATTTTTTGATGAATTATCGACATTATATTGATTTATGGCAGATTGTATAAACAAATAATTTTTTTTCAAAAGCACAATTAACATTATTATGTAATAATTACTATAAGATGATAATTATAGATTAGTAATAATTATTGATGTGAAATTAGCTTTTTTTTAAAAAACAATAATTGGCAGAAGATCAAAGACCTCCTCATCCTATTAGAAGAAGCAAAAATTATCCTGCTTGAAGAGGCAATAATTTTCTTTTTTTTTTTCGTTTTAAAATCTACTACTGTGATCAAAAAGTAAGGTGAATTTCTTTATAAAATGAAAAATCTTTATTTATTCTTCCAAATCTGTATCGTCCTCCTCAAAATAATCCCCCCCGGCCCCAATGCACTTTTGCCAACGTTTTTTCCAGTCTTCGAAGCATGCCAAAAAGTCCTCGGTAGGGATAGCCTTCAATGCGCGTGCCGATTCACGTTGGATCTCTTCAATGGACTCAAAACGATTTCCCCGGAGTGGTCTCTTGAGCTTTGATAACAGCCAGAAGTCACACGGTGCTAAGTCGGGCGAATACGGTGGTTGTGGAGCAACATGGGTAGAGTTTTTGGCGAAAAACTCACAAAGAACCAGTGCTGTGTGCGAAGGCGCATTATCATGGTGCAAAATCCAAGATTTATTGGCCCATAATTCCGGTCTCTTTTTGCGAATAGCTTTACGCAAATGTCGCATAACGCTTAAATAATATTCCTTGTTGACAGTTTGGCCAGTTGGAAAGAATTCGTAGTGCACGACACCACAATAATCAAAGAAAACAGTCAACATGACCTTGATTTTTGAGCGACTTTGACGTGGTTGCTTCGGTCTCGGCTCGTCTTTTTCACGGTATTCACTCGATTGGTTGGTTGTTTCAGGGTCGTATGCGTAGACCCAAGTCTCATCGCTAGTAATAATTTGTTTGTAGACGTCTTGATAGTCAGAAAGCATTGCTTCACACGCTTTAACGCGACGCTCTTTTTCAAAGAAATTGAGAAATTTCGGCACCAAACGTGATTTGAGTCTTTTGAGGCCCAAATGATCCTTCAAAATCGCTTGCACCGACCCAAATGATATTCCAACCATGTCAACAAGGTCTCGAATGGTTAACCGACGATTTGCAAGCACCAATTCTTTGATTTTGTTGATGTGGCGATCATCAATCGAAGTCGATGGTCGTCCGGAGCGTTCCAAGTCATCAACGCGTTCACGGCCTGCTTTGAAGTCTTTGTACCACTTGTAAACATTTTTTTGAGACATAGTCTCTTCACCGAAGGCCTTTTGCAACATTTGATACGTTTCAGCAGCAGAAATATCATTACGCAAACAAAATTTAATAGCACTTCTTTGCTCAACAAAATTAGACATAGTGAAAATCGCCAAACGCACTTTTAATACTTCAGAAACAAGCGTAAACAAAAAAAAAAAATTATGAATTTGACATGTAATTTGGCGCAAATGTTAATGACATTCATACCAACTTAAAAATAAAAAAGGTTGGATGATTCGAATAAGGCGGGAAGTTTAAATTAAAAATTCACCTTACTTTTTGATCACAGTAGTAGATCAACAGATTTCAAATTCATTTTACCCTTGAAAAATATAAATTTGTATACTTTACAAAATATCAAAAAACCAAGGTAAGGGGGGGTTTAAACCTTTATATAGTTATACCTTTTTAAGTCTAATCTTAAGAAAAGGGAAATATTATTTTAATATATAATTGTAACTTTTTGTATAAAAACTCGTATTTTTCAATTAAAAAATATCAATTTATTTTTTATTATTTAAAAAATGTTTTAAGGTTTTTGAAAATGTTGAGCTGACTTTTTTTGTCCTGATTTTATCCACAAGATATTAGTAATAGGAGAAATTAGTAATTTTATTCTTATGAATAAAAATGTTAATTTTTCATCATTATGTATATAAAAAATAATTAACATTAACTTATTAATAATCTAAAATAATAATATAAAATAAAGTTACATTTTACATGCTTATTTTATAAAATAGATAAGAATGTAAATAAATATTGAATTTGTTTATTCATTAGAGTTCATTTATTTATTAAATATTTACTGACATATACAAAACAAAGTAACAAAGTGAAATAGAAACAGTTCTTTATAGAAAGACTTATTACCAGTTCCAGCATAACATTCTACTGCTATATTATTTTTAGTGTTTAATTTTAAAAAATTATAAAACTCACCTTTGCACTTTTCAACTTCACATACTTCAATAGTTACATTACTACCTATGCAGTTAAGACCTCCATTAGAGGGAGGCGGTGAATTACAAAACCTTGTTCGATTTCTTGAACCTTCCCCACAAGTTGCAGAACATTCACTAAATGATGACCACGGACTCCACATGCCATTTACTATAAAAAATGTGTAAATTAGATTAAAAAAGTTAAAAATTACAATTTAAGAAATAAAAACAAAAAATTGAAATGAAAAAAGAGTGAAAAAGATAATAAAATGTGAAAAAATTAAAAAAAAACTGTGAAGTGAATTAAATTGTTACATAAGGAAATTGCTCATAACTTATGCGTGCTTCGAAATTATTTTTTTGTATATGTTTCAAATTTTAAATGTTTCTCATTAATATCTCATTTTTTCTCATTGTAAACATTGATTGTTATCTTATATTGTTTTAAATTACAGAATGTGTGCCAAATTTAATATAACCTTATAAGAAGAACAAAATTGTTCTTCTTATAAGGTAATATTAAATTTGTTTTTTTTTGTTTTTTTTTTTTGTGAAGCTTGAGTATCATCAATATTTATCAAGTTAAAAATTTATCTGATGATAAAAAGATAAAGTTCTTAATTTTAAAAAACTTTCAGTAGAGAGACAAGTTTTAGAGTGTTAGCAACTTTTTTGGTAATTTGATTTTTATAATAGCTGGTATTTAATGCCTCTAGTAAATGAATTTTAAAATATTCAATACCTCTAGTGAAAGAATCAGAAAAAGAAAATTAATTCCATTCTTGCAATGCAAATATAGAACTTACATTTTTTCACAAGCTATTATTGATGCATTTAAAATCTTTAAAAAAACATTTGCAAAAAAGATACAAAAAAACCATTCTGTATATAATAATAATACAAAGTTGAAAATATAATTTTTCAGTTTAAATGATGAATAGTACTTTATCTTATGTAATACATACAGGAAAACTCTGAAATTTAAATAAATAGACATTTATATTAAAAATTGCTGTATTTTTGTCCTTCAAAAAATACCATATGTTAAAAATTATTCTATACACTGAATACATTACCACTGGATATATGTTTGGGCTTGATTCTTCTTACTATTTAAAAAGCCTTTGTTATCAATTAACTTTTTCTATGTATTGTTATTACAAACTCATCTAAACTTAGAATTTTAAAAAACTATTTGCTAAACCTGTTTACTTTTTAAAGTAGTATACAGCAGCTTAAAGTACACAGGATGACTTTAAGCTTTTGAAATTACAAAATAATTTAAATTAGTAAATTACACTGCGAACTAAAGTAGTAAACACTACTACACTACTGTGTATTTTAAGCTACTGTGTACACAGTAAACAAAGAAATACTCAGTAATGTACTTTAAGCTGTGTACACAGTAGGGAAAAAAAATACTCAGTAATGTACTTTAAGCTACTATGTAGTGTGAAAATGTATGAAGTTAAAAAGTAGTTGTAAATGAAATAGTTGAAAATGAAGCTTTTGGGCCAAACACAAAATTGCCAAATTAGAATGACTAGAAATTTATACTCTATTTATAGTGAAAGTAAAGATACAGAGAACAGTATTTTTTATATACACAAATAGTGGTCAGCTAATGAGACATACAAAAAAGAAAAGTCTAGCAATAACAGCAAACAACAGAACAATTGTAATGACAACAAAAAAGTGCAATTCAGATTATGCATCAGTTTCAGCTCAATCAGATTAAAAGTGACAGCTTGATTGTAGACAACATTATTAATTCTGTATTAATACTATTTGGTCTTTCAGAGCACATGGTAGTTAAAAATGAGCTAGAGCTGACAGAAGAGGAACTTAAAGAAGGACAAGCAGAAACAGAAAATGATGGAAATAGCGAGACAAACAGAAACTGTTGTACAGAAGATATTTTAAAAAAACCTCTATGAAATTTAAACTTAGTTCTGAGTGTCCTTCTTTCAACTTTTTTTAAACTTGAAACTTTTATTAAATAAGTTTCAAGTTTAATATCTCTTATTTGATAAATTTCCATTTTAAATTCTTGTTTCACTTATCTCATAAAATGTTATTTTTTGTGGGTGACTTGTCCACCCATTGAGAGTTAGGGTTAATCTGTTTAGTTTTTTACTTGAAATTTGAATTATTATGGCCTTTTGTTCTTTAAAATAAGAAATTTTTAAATACATTTTAACAGATTTTTTGAAAAGTTTATATCCTTTATCAGAAATAGATTGTCTTTTCACTGTGAAACCATCCTCAAATCATGTCTTGATATAATTTCATTAAACTGTTGCCGTTTTATAAAATTTCAAAGAATTGAATAGTTATCATTATTACATTTTTTTTTTTTGAACTTGTTGATTGACTGAAACTGGTAAACGCTTTAAAGACAGCCTTTAAAGCGTTTACCAGTAAGATCTAACATATGTTTTAACTTAAAATGATTTAACATGGGTATGGCAGTAGGTAGTCAGTAAAATGCAAACTGCAAACGGCGAACCGGTAAAATGCAAACTTTTTTGCAAACCATGGTTCTATTGGTTGTTAATGATGTAATACTTTATTTTCCATTTGCCATTGAATTGTTTATTATTCAAAATATTTTAAAGAATACAATTAAAAAAGTAAATTAAAACTAGTATGAAAAAAACTTCTGCAAAAAAAACTAAAGATGAAAAAGTGAATAGTAAGAAAAATCTGTAAAAAATCTGTAAAAAATGTATAATGAAGTGTATGCTGCAAAGAATGCTGAAGAATCCAAGAATGCTGCAAGCAACCACTATTAAGTTGGGGGTCGCTAGAAAAAAAGAGTAGAGTTATAGAGTAAGGAAACGATTGACAGAAGACTTAAAAAGTTGAAGGTTGTATGAGTCAGGAAAACATGAAGATGGGACAGAGTTCCTAAGGGTTGAAGTGCTGGGAAATAAGCTAGACAAATAAATGTTTTTGGAGCATATGGAGACAGACACAGTAAAAGAATGAGACTTTGATAAATGACAAGTCAAGCAAGAATGAGTTTTGGTTGATGGAACAAGAGATAGATATGATACTTCTTTGAGCAACAACAATCATAGTATTTATAAAAAAAAAAGGAGATTCAACTTTATGACGATGGGAAAGAGGCTTAAGCTTCACAGATAGACTTTTTTCAACTCTGTTTACAATGCGTTTTTGGACGTTATCTTGAAGAGAAAGAGCATCATTAGAAGAACCAGCCCAAATATGACAATAGTATTTCATACAGGGACGAATAAGAAATTTGTAGACGTAGAGAATGGAATCAGGAAAGAGAAAATGATGAGCATGATAAAGAGAAGCAAGCTTAGCATATATTAATTTAGCTACCCATTGTATATATGGTTTCCAGGAAAGGTCAGTAGTAAATGATAATCCAAGAAGATGTAAAGAAAAAGAACCAGTGAGAGGGTTGCCATTCATTAAAATAGGAGTGTCAACAGTACTACAATAGTTATTTGAGGTAAATAACTGAGTTTTGTTATAATTTAAATTTACAAGCCACTGTAAGCCCCAATCAGTTACAGAAGTGAGATCAGATACAAGATGGGCTGTCTGTTCTAAGCAAAAAAGAGAAGATTTTTTGTCAAGACATTAGTATTAAGTTGAGTCATCAGAAAAAAGAGCTACTTTAGATGTGAGGTTGTCAGGAAGATCATTAATGTAGATAAGTAATAAAACAGGACCAAGGATAAAACCTTGAGGTACCCCAGAAGTTACTGAAAATAAAGAAGAGTGTTGACCTTCGAAGATGACTTTATTAAGGCGGTTAGAAAAAAAACGATTTGATAATCTCAAAAATTTCCCAGATAAACCATATGAAACAAGCTTATGGAGAAGACCAACATGTCAAACTTTGTCAAAAGCCTCAGATATGTCTAGAGCAATAGCCTCTATCTAATGCACAATAAAATCTTTCAGTCACAGCAGTTAGCAAGTCAGCTGTAGAATAAGAGGATTGAAAAACGCATTGGTTGTCTAACAGCAAGTTATTTGACTAAAGCTGGAATGTGAGAAATATGTTTATTAAAGACTCAAAGACCTTGCTAATAACAGAAAGAAGACTGATTGGACAATATTTGGAGGGGTCAGTATGTTTACCAGAGTTCTTAAAAAATAGAACAACAGATGCCATTTTCCAGCAGGCAAGAAAACAAGAATCAGTAAAGTACTTAATAAATAGTTTAGAGAAAATTGAGTTTCAATTCACGTTTCTGAGGCTACGAAGGCCACTTTAACTGAGAAGGCTTCTTTAGTTATGGCTACAATCCACTTTCAATTTTATAACTTGGAAACACAAACCTTGATTAACAAAGATTAAAATAATTATTTGGCTTTGATTTGGGTCCAAGTAATTGTTTACCAGTATCGATTTAAAGTTGTATGGGTTTATATTTATATATATATATATATATATATATATATATATATATATATATATATATATATATATATATATATATATATATATATATATATATATACATATATATATATATATATATATATATATATATATATATATATATATATATATATATATATATATATATATATATATATATATATATATATATATATATATATATATATATATATATATATATATATATATATATATATATATATATATATATATATATATATATATATATATGTATAACAAACTATATTTGTATTTCACCTGATGATTGTAACAGCATGAAACTTAAAGTTGTGAAAATCACGTAGTTTTATTTTCTACTATATATATATACATCAATATATATAAGTCAATCTCAAACTATATATGCAAACTAACAAACAGCAGATATGTCTGCAAGCCAAACACACAGTGTAGGATACGAGCAAAATCCAAACTACATACTAAATGTTCACTGGGCCCTGACCATTGTCCATCGTCACGCCATCTAGCTGATGCAACATTGCTAAACACATATGAATAATCAAACGACCAATTAGCGATTAGATCGACGAAGGAGCGACAAAGGGCTGTACAAATATACAGGCCATAGAACACATACAAGCAACCGTCACATACCTATCATGTAAACAACGAACGCTCACGACAGTATAATTTAGGCAATTTTAAACATTATTTTCTATGAATGTTTGGTGTTTAAACTTTCAACTGTTAGTTTATGC